ATAACTACATATTAATCCTTTGAAGGAAATGAATGCCCAAGATGGCTTATTAAGACCCAACGACCTAAGTTAACATAAAGGCAATTAATATACAAGGGATATTTCTGGAGATAGCTGACTTGTTCAATTGGTTTAGTATAAAGGCGAGGTCAAATAGTTGTCTGTATGAAAAATTTCGAAATTATTTCAATGCTATTGAGGAACTTTTGCCAGCTCAACGTAATACTATAGATTTTGAACTTTGACAGCCTTTTTAAATACAACTGAGTGCACATACCACACAGTGACATAACTAGGTTAGCTAAAGGGCCTGGGGGGGGGGTTAGCTAGGTTATATATTATTAAATACAAAGTTCACCGATGTATTGCTCAGGACCTGATCCTAGCCCTCCTTACATAGGTATATCTAAACCTAAATAATTTAGGATTTGTGGACGTCGTTAAAATATTATAACTACCGGTACCTAGGAGGGCCCTCGTCCAAACCTATAGTTGTTGAAGTGTTGTTTGCTTCTAAGGTTTCCAATGGTAGTGCTGTCCAATGTCCCCCCGGCGCGGCGGCCGAATGTTTTTCAGTTCAATGTGCATCGCACCCAGGTCGCATGAGCAGGAAATCTGTCAGGCATTGCCTGTCTTACTCATAAGTTGAGAAAGGGTTTGGTTTGGGATTTCTCAATGCTTTCAATGAGAAAATCACACCTCCAAATAAATTGGTTGTATCTACTAATATCTTAATGCTCCTCTCCATAGCTTCTTATCAATTATCCTACATCTTTATGAAACCCTTCGGTAGGCCATATCGTTGATGGGCTGTAGGGTAAAAAATACGAAGGTAAAACAACTATCATAACCCACTTTTTAAACCCGGAATGTCCTAAAGAGTCCGGGATTTGTATAGTCTAAGCATGCCTTGTAGTAAAGCAGTGAATAGTGATGACAAATGCTACCTGGTCAATCGTGTAAGCTCTGGTAAGTCAGGTTGGTTGGACCAATCATTTTTGATTGAATTCCATGTGTTTACATGGACTAGTGTATTTTAAATACCGCCACCACAATAAACCTGTAGACTAAGGAAATTTCCACTTCTTATTTGGTTTTTTACATGATGTCTACAATAAAAAATCTACATTTCTAGGCTTTTGAAGTTTAAACTTGAGAAAAAAAATATAAAAAAATACGGCATTTAGTAAAAATTTAGATTTATTAAAATAAAAGTAATAACTTTACACTAGGTTACATCTTGATCTTGGTTCGTTCATGAGATACAACACGATACTAAATCCCGGAAGCATAGAAATACAAAACTTGACGACTGACGTTTAATTAAAACTATGCAGTAGTACCAAGGCAGCAGCCTTAAATCAAAGACATAAGAAATAAACATGATCTCAATATAAAAATATCACTTAATAACACTTATTAAACTATCTTGCTGGTTAGCGGACTTGTTCAAGTCCATCCCGCCCTCACATTCATGCCTAATTTCATCAAAGCGGGACAAAAATTTGAACGAATAGTGTTTTTGGACTCTGGGGACATCGAAATGGAAAACCTATGTTGGTCATACCAATGACTATACACCTCTACCGTAGAGGTGGATAGTCAATGGTCTTACCGTTCCACCTTCAGTAATAGCTACTTCCATATGAAGATTCACTAAACTTAAATCGTACTTGTAGGGAGAACTCTTTATAAATCAGGACAAAGAACAAATTAATAGCAACGAACGATTGAGAGCTAAGCGTAAACCTTTGAAGAGAAGGGGGAAAGTCAACAAGAACAATCTTTAGTTGGCATAATCGGTAAAATCTGCAAAAATTAGAGAAAGGTTGCAAAAAATATTATTAGGCAAATTTTTAGAGAAATAAATACCTATGAACGTGTCAGCGATAATAATCCTCCAGGTAATAATTGAGCGGAGCGAAGCGAAGCGAGCGAAGCTCTTATACTACACTCCTGCTTTTGTTTTACAAATACTCCTCCTGAACGGCTGAAGCGATCTGCACGAAATTTAACACAGTCATAGTACCCAAGGTATAAATCTGAAATGGTAATAATCGGACCTCAAGACTTTTCCCTACGTGAATTTAAACTTTAGAAATTTAACATGGGCCTTATGATGTTAGTCAACGAATCGTCTGAAATAGCTGACTACAAACGGGAAGAACAATCGGATTAATAGCATTGAGCATAATTTACTACAAAATGAATAACCAATAATAAGGGTTGCCGGAATTAGGCTGATGCACCATATTGCGTTTGGATACTGTAAATAACTTTTACAGTATTTTATGTGAGCAAGCAGTTAATGTAGACTTTGAATATGTACTGCAATTCCTATTTGCAGTCTACAAATAGAAATTCCATTAATGTGAACCAAATATAACACTCATAGTTTCGATACTGCAATTAGACAATCCGTCTACGTGAACCAGACGTACCATTGACTTTAGAATCTGTAAATAGGCATTCCATTTATGCGAACCAAATATATTATTGACATTGAATTAATATGCTCCGCTCCGCTCAATATTGCTAGTAAATGGATACACTGTTAATAATTTATGTTAAAATAGTATTAGAAGTTTTATTCAGAAAACGTGTTCACAACGAATACTTTGGTAACTAGAGAACCCGTGCGGCTCAATGAGCCGCAAAGTATGAAACATAACGCTTAGGAAAACTTTATGCTTAAATTCGAGCAATTGTAGCTACATCTTAGAGTTGTTTAAACACTTGTTAGTAACTAATTTTAAATATCTCTGTTTGCGTCGTCAAGGTTCACCTACATTATTTCTGCTCTCAGTTGCAATTGATAACTTCTAATGAGTGTTAAACAATCTGCTTCAATTCGAGTTAACATGTTGCAACAAAGTTTTTCCAGCTTTGAGAATTGAAGAAAACTGTTGCCTTAGGCCTACTACCTGTGTTTAGTAATTTAAGTTGGATCATTTTATTTCTTTGATTTGAGACATCCCCCTAATCAAACTAATTTTCTTCGTGGAGAACCCTGAAAAGTTAGGTGATATCAAACAATTCATGTGCTCCATTTTTTGCCAACTTAAGTGGCATAATCTGCTTTGAATAGGCTAAAGCAGCAACACCATTGAAAGTTGGTTAACGTATTTTAACGTGTTGTCTGTCAGTCTCACGTTTTTCAGTGGAGTTTCTCTAAATACCTGTCCCAACGTTTTGAAAGTATCGATTCATTTGTCGAAATAGGTTAGATAACTCTTCATCTATGCTTGTAGCTATACGATTTGGATAGCAATTTTCGTATTAGCGTATATTATTTGTCTTTCCTAAATCATAAACATAAACTTGGCCGTAACAACCCGATCGTTGAATACATAAATGCTAATTCCTTCACTTATATGTTTGGTCTAATATTGCCACTAAAACTTTCAATAGCAAATTAGTTGTTGAAACTTCTTATTTTTGACTTGAAATGTATGGATTGTGTTGGTAAATTCAGTCAATAGACCTTGTATAAGTTTTCCCGAGTAACTGGAAAAATAACCTAGAAGTAAAATATCCATTTGCGTTTTTTCTCAATTGAAGTAGAGCGAGTAACACATAAGTTTACAATAAAAATATAAGGTCTGCCAAGATTTGGTATAATCTTACTAGGCATTAAATATAGTTTATACTGAATGTTTTGAAATATCTAGTTTTGTCAGTGTCAGAAGTAAACATTTCTTGCATGCATTCATTTGATCTGACATTAGGCAAGTTTACTTTACCACCGTGACAACACTATGTGCTTCGTACATTTTTTCACTTCCAAAGTGAGTTGCATAGCAGAACCGTCGATGTATAGCAGAACTGGCAAATATTGTTCATACTAGCTGTAACCCGCGGGCTTTGCCCCGTTTAACTTCTTAATTTTCAAGATTATCTCGTTCGCATGGCTCAATCACGTCCTGGTTGAAGTTTGTTCGCTACGCTCACTCACCTTTAGGTTGGAGCTCGTTCGCTACGCTCACTCACCTTTAGGTTAAAGCTCGTTCGCTGCGCTCACTTGCCTTCAGGTTAGCTCGTTAGCTACGCTTACTCGCCTCCAGGTTGAAGTTCGTTCGCTACGCTCACTCACCTTTTGGTTGCGAATTAGCTGTTGTCATAAATAAAAAAGAAATAATAGTGCTGCACCCTGTTGGTAATCCTTGTAACTTTAATGCTTTTGAACATCATAGAACAGAACCAACTTGTTTAATTGAAACAGCTGTTAATATTCAATAATTCCATTTCTCATAAGGTTAACATGGGAAACTCCAGAGCCATTGGGGCGGAGCCCGAAAGGATTTTTGAAATAAGAATATGCCTATATGTTAATCGGGAATGTGAGCTATCATCATGCCAAATTTCAGCCCAATCCGACCAGTATTTTTCGCGTTCACTTGTCACAAACATACATCCATACATCCATACATCCATCCATCCAAACTTTCTCATTTATAATATTAGTAGGAAGTAGGATAACCAAGTGAATGTGTATCTGGATGGGTGTCTGTTAGACCAGGCCACTCTATTTCTACTCTCCTCATACGCATAAGATATCTTATTATTAATTGTCTCCTACTTACGTTTTCAATATTTCTTCTTTGAACTTGAGGCATTTTCTGTTCTTCCTACAAAACTGATTACCGGTTTAACTTGGTCTTAACCTTCTGAATAAATATTACAAACATTAATATTTACTCCCAAAAAGCAGTTTTTTTTATAAACAGCTGTTTTTGGCTTTTAAATTTCTCCTATGTATTTCTTATGGAGAAAATCCGACCTTTGAGAGGGTCTCACGCCCTTCAGAATAGGAATTTTAAAATTCTAAAACCTTATTGCAAAACTACATATTGAGACGAAACTTTTGACACCTTAAACGTTAAAATCGGTCTACAAATAAGGGAGGAGTTGCGTTAACAAAAAACGGCTTCACGTATTATATATATAGATATATGATCAATATTGTGGATACCAGCTGACCAAGTAATTGTTCTTTGCAGCTCAAGAAGAGTTGAGGAAGACCTGCCCTACTATCAAAGAGACCCCGGAGAAATTCCGACGTCAGGCCACCCCCGTAGTGGACCACTTCAATCCTCTGCTGTACCCCGTGGTCACTCACCCTCACAACAAACAGTACGTCAGCCAATACCACTCCCTGGCCTCCTCCAACAGATACAGTCCCTACACGGTCTACTCTGCGGGGCTCTACCCTCGGTTCAGAAGCATCTTGGCTCCCTTCGACCAACCAGGTGCACACCCAGTGTACGCCATCCCAATGCATGAGGTTTGTGTTTTACTTTGACCTTGACCCAGTAATAACAAAAGATCCATAATATAATAAGTATGCTAAGTGCTAAGTCACATTTAAGGTTCGGCTACTCTAGACCATCGATGTATAATAACTCCCGCCGTGTCCTGTACAGTAAGTAGCTTGCATTTTTTGTTTACACAGAAAGCATTAATCAGAAACAATTCTATTTATTTCCTTCCCACGCTCTTTCTTGTCTAGCATAGTTTAAGCTTTAAGATTACTCAAAGTTAAAGTAGAGTTTGTAATGATAATTCAACCCATATCTTTAACAAAGCTAAATCTAATGTTACGCTGCAGAACGCAAACATCAATTTCATTTTATTGGTGTAGCTGCATATTCGTACTGATCTGATAATTAAACTTCTTAATAATTTTCTCTCTTTAAAAAAGGACGTCCTGGTGAACTTTAATTAAACATGTATATTGTGCGTCAAAATAAAAACAATTAAGTTCTTTATGGTATCGCTGTCGGTATTATAGCAATAGGGAAACACGAACTTCATGTATCGAGCTCACCCCTATTTATCCAGAACCATCCGTCTTCAAGTTGTCTTGTCCGCCAGGGAGGTATGTACCTGCCTGCCTACCGGCCTCGTGTACAAGTTCTCGCAGCTAGTCTGGGCGCGCGGCCGCGCTAGGGCAGGGGGTGTAGAGGGGAGTGTTTATTGCTCGTTTCCAAAAACATTCGGCCCACACGGCACACTGGGGTTGTTCAGCGCCTCACTGCTGTCTTCATGGCTTTGGCGTGGGGGGCGGGTCCGCGCGCCACGGACCCGGCGCGGACAACCCCAAGTTGAAGGGTCCGCGCGCCCAGACTAGCTGCGAGAACGTAAAAGTGCACTGAAGGTTCGTACAATGTTTCTTAGGAACAAGAATAGAATCCTTTAACAACTTCGAGTATGCACCATATACAGGGTGTCAAAAAGGTCTTAGGACTTTGGGATACGATTTTTTAAACCAAATTAAATAAAAAAAGGCCATATTATGAGTGTATTATGTGTGTAAAAATGTGTCTATATTCACCCACTTATGTGCCATTTAGTTTTGTATACATTACATTTATATCTTTGAAATTTTCCAAACGATCTTTATAAAACTTGGTATCCAGGTATATTATTACACTTAAAGAGATATATACTCGTATTAAGGGGAAAACATAAGTTAATAAAATTTAAAATTTCAAAATGGCTGCCGATTTAATTGTTATAACTTAAATAACCAAAGAATTGATAAATTAAAAAAAAAACATGTCGTGAACACTTTAATTTAGCACTAGCAGCAATACCCGAGCCTCTCAACGAGGTCAATATGCAGAAGAAACAATGTTGGTTCTTTGAAATGCCTTAAAATGGTTTCACACCTACTATATACATTTATTTACATACGAAATTTAACTTGATAATAGTACGTTTTGGTTGAATCAGATTGTGAACACTTATTTAGGCTACCTAGGATACAAAATCCATGATAGATTTAAAGTATAATGAAATAACATGTTGAATGGTTTGTACTGTAAACGAAAAGCTATCACAATAGTTCCAAACCTGTCAATAGTGTAATTTTCGGACAAACTTTTGTGAAATTATGATCAGGCAAATGGAAATTGGCTTCGTCTGCAGGTTTTTCTGCATCAGGGTTATTTTATTACTTCTTACCATAGACTATGTTCTTACTCAAAAATATATCTAAAAGATAATTCTCATAAAACTCAGTAAGATAAGAGCCTAGCTTTATACGGCAATGATTATAGAGTCTTATTTATTTCCTTTGTCTATGAATAATTTATTTTACAATCACTTTTTCCCTGTAAAATATTATTACAGCATTTTACAAATATTAGAACAGACTCAGTATGGATCATAAACATAAACAAATGACTTAACTGAAAGAATCCTATAGGGCTACTAATCACTTTAACATAATGTTTTGACAGCTCCATTTAAGCAATGTGAAATAATGTTTACATGCATGTGAGTAACATCATTATTTTATATTTATGATCCATACCCTTTCTGTTCTAATATTCGTGCAGTAGTTAATGTTTGAACTAGCTGTGTGGGAATGTGAAATCAAAATTCTTTGACAGTTCTACTTGTTTACATTAAAACTTTGTAGGTTTGTTCTTTGTTACCATGGAGACCAATCAATATTTACTTTTAAATCTCTCACCTCAGAACTTAGAAAGCCCGCGGGTCCTAGGTCAATATCGAAGCGGGAATAGTTCTATATGTATCCTCGGAGCTGTAGCTTTATTTTTGTGCAATTTGAGCACAGTCGGTTCAGTAGTTTTTGAGTTGATCTCATACAAACACACAGACAGACAGACACACATAACCTCTCCTTTATAATAGTGAATATATAGATTTAAAAATTCCAATATTCATCACCAAGGTCGAATGACAAATAACTGAAATGTCAGGTGTTTTAGTTGAAAAATAAGGTGCACTCTAACTAACTAGCTTAGTCTTATTTTACAACTAAAAAAGATTTTGGCGAAAATTAGAGTACGTGATAAGTAGCATACACCCATGCGACTGTATTTTGGCAAAGGTGGGCGCGGTCAATACAACATTAATCTAAGATTTACTGCCATATTTAAGTATATTGTTGAAGGGTTGTCCTTTCATAAATTGTATTTTTGCAATAAACATTTTTATAGCTCTGCACAAAGTTAATTTCCATCTATTTATTTTTACGCAGCGCCAACATTTTATTACAAATCACAAAAAGATTTACGCAGGGTCGGAGGTGGGGCCGCTGAGATGCCCGGTTTTGCAATAAATGTCTGTCCGGCTAGAGAACAATTTATGTGCACTCGGCTCAGTTGCCATTTAGCGAGGGTTTAGAGGAAAGTTTGCTCGTTAAACCGCAAGCCAACCAACACATGGTCGCGCGACGCTCTATAAAACTGCAACTGCTTCCACCTGAATCTCGTCATCAAGACCTAACTCAAGCTTGCACATGAACATAAATCGAAAGGAGAATGTTACCAAACTCTAGGTAGCCCACTAACTACCAACCCATCTCTTGCCAACGTTAAAAGTTACTACGAAGTGAGTATCCTATTTCCAACGTTCACAGTTTCTACGCAGTGACGGTTTTCACGTTCGCTCTGGCAAAGGCGTTATCAACGTTCATAACATCTCCAATGACGGTTTTATGTTTATCCTGGTGACGTTAAACCATCCGTCATCGACGTTTAAAATGTCTACATATTAATTTAGATTTCATGTTGTTTTGGCGGTCTAGTTATAACGGGTGGTCCATAATAACCGCTAACATTTTGCTTTGTTACAGCTCAGCTAATTCATGGGTTAGAGAGACGATTTTTGCGTTGAATGGTTCCTTAACTAATATCGTTTTTGTAACTATAAGTTGTTCAAACTATTAGAATTTTTTAATGGAGGTGGCATAAAAATAAAATAATGTGTTAAATCTAAGCAATGTTTGTTTTCCGTGTGTGAAGTAATAAATAAAACAACACTGTGTAAAATAGCAGTTAGATTTGATCAAAACTCGAAGAAATATTTACAAAATTATTACATAGCTAAACCATTTTTACTTATGGAATATGACATCCCTCATATTATGATGTCCACCGACATCCAAGCATGTTTTCAATCTTTTTTGGAAACATGCAATCACCTGTCGTATCATGGGCATTGGTATTGCGGCAATTTCTTACGTATACTGTTCTTCAGATCTGCAATAGTTTGGGGCTTCGTTGCGAAAACCTTGCTCTTCAAGTAGCCTCACAAATAGAAATCACAAGGCTATAGGACTGGGGACCGGGGAGCTGCAACCGGGGGATAGCGAGTTGACGATAACCGACGATAGTTTGACATTGCGTAGATTTCATCCATTATTTATTTTTATGCCACCTCCATTAGAAAAGTTAAATAGTTTGACAAACTTAATTACAAAAAAATGCTATTAATTAATAAACCACTCAAACCCAAAAATCATCTATCTAATCCATATAATAGCTGAGCTGTAACAAAACAAAATGAGCGGTTAGTATGGACCATCCGTTGAAGTAGTCGTTCATGTTCAAAAGACAATATCTCATCAACGTGCATAGTGTCTGTTATGTAATATTTTTGTATTTGTCCTAGCGGTGGTAATAGAAGTAGTCGTCCATGTTCAATAGACATCTCATCAACGGGCATAGTGTCTACAATGTGATGGTGTTGTATTTGTCAGTCTACAATGTGATGTTTTTGTTTGTCCTGGTAGTGGTAATTAAAGTAGTATCTCGCTCATGTTCAATAGACAATATAACATCAACGTGCATAGTGTCTACAATGTCAATGTGACAGTTATATGTTTGTCCTGGCGTCGGTCGTGGTAGCGTAGGAGCTGCTAAGTAGTCGTCCCTGTTCTGTGCTGCAAAGTACCTGATTCTTATCAACCCGCAATGTGGATTTTTATTGCAATCCTATTTAGTGCTTCACAAATCTTGAGGCCGTATCTTTTAACGACCTTACTCTGTGGCTGATACAACGACACCACAAAGCAAGACTGCACATCCGTAATATGGCATCGAAAATGATGCAAACGAGCGATACGAGCGATACGTCGAGCGATACGTCGACAATGATACAGTATTTTCTATAAAGAAAGTTTGAATTTTATACTACTTTAAATAATCTATTATTCTAATTCCGTAAGGAATTTCTTGTGCACAGCAAATCTCTTTTATTTATTAACCGATTTTGATGATTGATGTGTCAAATTAAAGGGAATTATCTGAAGAAGTCATGGAATAATTTTTGTCACGCTCAGTTCAATGTGCTTCGCCCCATTGGACTTTAAAGTTTCCATGCATCTATATAAATAAAATTAGAGTTTTGTCTGTACATTGCTCAGAATTATATACTTTTAGGTTATTTTTACGTTTTATACATTAAAGAAGCAGAAACGAGTCTTATCTCAATTTCTGTCTGTCTGTCTGTCCCTTTGTCTGTAACACT